AGGGAGGGCCGGGCAGGGTGGAGACAATCCTCGGTGGGGGGGGCAACGAAATGGTTTGGGGGCCGGGGCGCAGGGCTGGTGAGCAGAGGCTGAAGGACTTGGGCTTGTTCAGCTGTCTGGAAAAGACAGGAGTAAGAGGGGATTTGATAGTAGCCTTTAGCTACCTGAAGTGGGATTTGAAAGAGGATGGAGCTGGACTGTTCTCAGTGGTGGCAGATAACAGAATAAGGAGCAGTGGTTTCAAGTTGCAGCAAGGGAAGTTTAGGTTGGATATTAGGAAAAACTGTCTCACAAGGAGGGTAATAAAGCACTGGGGCAGGTTACCCAGAGAGGTGGTGGAAGCTCCATCCTTGGAGGTTTTTAAGGCCCAGCTAGACAAAGCCTTGGCTGGGGTGATATAGTTGGCTGGGTCCCGCTTTGAGCAAGGGGGTTGGACTAGATGACCTCTCGAGGTCCCTTCCAGCTCTAATTTTCTGTGATTCTATAGAAGTTTGATAGACCAGTCTAACTTAAATTGCTTAAGTCTGATACTACATCCATCTAGGTGTCTCCTTTTTATTTGTAACCATAGGTGGCAAGTCCTGGCCCAGTGCCCCTCACTCCTGACCCACTGCCCCCCACTCCCAGGCCCCCAGTGTGCGAGGCAGGGAGGCCCCAAGCAGCCCCTCGCAGGCTGGAGCTCTGGCAGCCTGCAAGAGGGAAGCCACAGCTTCCTCCATTTTTCTCTATTTTGAAAGTTTGCTCACAACCCTTTCATATATTCTTGCGACCCACTATTGGGTTGCAACCTACAGGTTGAGAAGCGCTGGACTAGGTGACCTCCTGAGGTTCATGGATTCATAGATTGGAAGGGACCTAAGAAGATCGTCGAGCCCAGCTCCCTGCACCAAGCAGGAAAGACAACCGGGGTCAAGTGACCCCAGCAAGGTGACTGTCCAGTCTCCTCTTGAAGATCTCCAGGGAAGGTGATTGCGCCACCTCTGGAGGGAGCTTATTCCATGTTCTGGACACCTTGGCTGTGAAGAAGTTTTTCCTAATTTTGAGGCTGAAACAGCCTTTCAGGAGTTTGTGACCATTGCTCCTGGTTTTCCCCAAGG